CTAATATTTTATTTTATTTTTTATTTATTTATTTTTTTGGTGGCTGCCAGAAATCAAACTCAGGACCCTGTACTTACCAGACAAGCACTGTGCCGCTGAGCTGTATCTCAGCTTGCACTCTACCCCAATCTTTTTTTAGACAGGATTTCGTTAGGTAGCCTGGGCTGTCCTCAAATTTGCAGCGATCCTCCTGCTTAAGCTTTCTGAGGCTGGGATTACCGGCATGTTATCCCAGGCTTTGAATTGATTTTTATTAGGTCTTCAGTCGATGACCAGTTTCTTTCTTAGTGTGGTATATTCTGTTGGGATTGGTGTTAGGAGAAATACATAGGTCCTCATTTATTTATTTGGTACAGGGTCTCACTACACAGCTTGGACTTGTAATGATCCTCCTGTCTCAGCCTCCCTGGCCCTGGGATTACAGGCATGCACCACCATGCCTGGTTTCAGTGCCAGTGATGGTTGGGATACCAGGGATTGAAACTGGGTCTTTGCGTTTGCCAAACAGGCACTTCCCCACAAAAAAATTTTTTTAAATAATATGGGAATAAAATCAGGTTTCTACGGTTGACTGTTAAACCTGAGGTTCTCATTATCTCTGACTTTACTTTTTCCACCCAGAAAGAATCCATGTTTATGAAGATAAAAAGGAAGCATTGCAAGCTGTCAAAATGATCAAAGGGTCCCGGTTTAAAGCTTTTCCAACCAGAGAAGATGCTGAGAAATTTGCTAGAGGAATTTGCGATTATTTTCCTTCTCCAAGCAGAGCCTCGTCCCCACTGTCCCCTGTGAAGGTGGCTCCACTTTTCAGCAGTGGTGGGTGGAAAGGTAAACCATGTGGCAGCTCCCTCCTGGTGTTTTGGTTGTATCTACTTTGAAATACCTTGTATCCTCTGTGGTGGTGACAGTAACTTGTTTTTTCCCTGTGACAAGTCTGGTGTGGCAGGACATACTGGTGGGACAGCTGAGTGCTTGGTCTGGGGAGGTTTGGGGGCAGGAGCATGGAGGTGAAGAGCAGTGAAAGGTGGAACAACCAGCCCCTCTCTGGCATTTTATCTTCCCTACCTCACTTTCTGGGTCAGGGTCTCTTTGATGCTAAGAGCAGTCTCTTCATGTGAAGCTGCACCTCCTTCAGAGCTGCTGGAGCCAAGCACGTGTGAAAGCCAGAAATCTCGTTGCATACACTATCCAGCTCAGAGCAGGCTCCTGTCCCTTGGAACTATGTGGCATGTGTATGAAGTGCTGGAATATAGGGACACCACAAATGCGACTGATCTCCTTTCCTTCTTTCCTTTTTTTGGAGGAGGAGTGGGGGAGCTGTGGATTTAACCCAGGGTCTTCTCTCTAAGCTACACCTCTAGTACCACCCCTTATTTATTTATTTATTTATTTATTTATTTATTTAGTGTGTGTGGCCAGCTCAGCCCACCAGGGGGTGGGGCCGGTTGGCATGTGGTGCTGGGGGATTGAACTGTGGTCCCTGTGCTTTGTTTAGCTTAGCTTGTTCTAAGTAGGTGCTTTAGACCACTGAGCCATCTCACCAGCCCAACCCCTTTTAATTAAGAAAGGATGTCACTAAATTTCCTGGTCTGATGGCAAATGTGCAGTCCTCTGCTTCATACTCTCAGAGGGCTGGGATTATAGGTGTGTGCCACCGTGCACAGCTGATTTACTTTGTGTGTGTGTATGTGTTTGTGGCCAGCTCAGCTCACCAGGGGGCGGCACTGGCTGGCATGTGGTGCTGGGGGATTGAACCGCAGTCCCTGTGCTTTGCTAAGCTTGTTCTAAGTAAGTGCTATAGACCACTGAGCCATCTCACCAGCCCTGATTTACTTTTTGAAACCTTAAGTGACTTCTGTTCAGAAGTGCTCTTCCAGCGGGAGTCCATCTGGGTCTGATGGCGTCTTGCAGTGCATGGACTCTGCTGTGTGGGCAGGATGTGTGGCTTTGTGCCCGCACTGTCACCCTCTCTCACCTTCACTGCCAAGGACTGATGGGCCAAGGTGAGCTCACCCCTCAGTGATTAAAGAGCAGGCAAGAAGACATCTGTGAGACTGATTGTTTCTTCTCTTGACAATAGATGGTTTGTGCTTCTCTGAGTCAGAAACAATAAACAAAGATGGAGCAAACAGTTATAAAAACCCCCGCGTACAGGATCTCACCTCTAAGCTGCGGAAAGCTGTGGAGCAGGGAGAAGAAAAGGCTTTCTCTGACCTCATCTGGAGCAACCCCCGGTACCTGATTGGCTCAGGGGATACTCCGACCATTGTACAGGTGAGCCTGTCACTAGCACAGTGTGCACCATAGTCAAGAAAATAGAACTTAGGAAAGAATTTTCTTCCAGGAAGGATGTAGGTACAATGTTATGCATGTCGCTGCCAAGGAGAACCAGGCTTCTATCTGCCAGCTAATACTGGAGACTCTGGAAAACCCTGAGTTCATGCAGCTTATGTACCCGGATGATGACGTGGACATGCTGCAGGACCGTATCCGCTTCCTGGTGGACCTGTATCTGAACACTCCTGACAAGATGGTAAGTGTTCCCTGCAGCTGTGGAGGAAGCCTGGCATTCCTGGTAGTGGAGGAGTTCTTGGTTTCCATGCTGCCTCTGTTTGCAAGGTGTGTGGACAGTCAGAACAGAAACATATGTGTTGATGTGGAGAGTGCACAGGCAGAGCATGAGGCCACTGGTGGCTTCACGTGCCAGGGAGGCACAGTCCAGGTGTGCCTATCAAGCAAATGCTGAAAGGTGTAAAGCGAAGTAGAAAAAGTTGTGGTGTCCGTTATTTTAGTCTTCGGCTTATATCCTTTATGCATTATTTTACCAAAGTTGTCATTAGGAATATTTCCTATGAGTTTGTTTTATTTATTTACTTTGTGGTACTAGGACATTTTATAAAAGAGGTCATTACAAATCAGAAATGAAAAAAAAAAAAAGAGAAGAATCAGAAATGAGGGGCCAGGGAGATGGCTCAGTAGAATAAGTGCTTGCCGCAAGGGCCTGAGTTCAATCCCCGGTTCTGCCAAAAAACCAAACAAGAATCAGAAATGAGGGCTGTCTACTGGCCCCGCCCCTGTCCCTGGGTGTGCTGAGCGGCCGTGGTGTCTGGACGTGATGCTGTGTACCTGTAATCCCAGCACTGGGGAGGCTGAAAACAGGGTCAGTCTGAGTCCAAGCTGCATAGTGAGAACCTGTACCAAATGCACACATACACACGTATATAAGTACAATCAGAAATGAATACTCGCGGGGCTGGCGAGATGGCTCAGTGGTCTAAAGCACCTACTTAGAACAAGCTAAGCAAAGCACAGGG